TTACCAAGAGAATGGGAATGCAACTAGATAAATATACGCAACGAGAGGATTTGGACGAGCATTTACAAATACTCACTGCCATTATGACGGATCTGACAATAGACGTATGTAAAACGTTAGACTATTTAGCCTATTCGAAGGAAGGATTAATACCCACTTGTTTACTACCTTTAGAGCCGATAATAATAGAATTGCGAGAAGCCGCGTCACAATTAACAAAAGGGTTGCACTTTCCCTTTCAAGTAAAAGTGGAAAATTGGAATACTATCCAAAAATATATGTCGATTAATGCAGTCTATTTTAACTCTCATATGTTTACTACACTGAAGTTCCCGGTAATCGCATACCCGACGTATAAGATAATACGCGCGACACCGCTACCCCACTACTCGCACTCCAATGTCTTTACGTTCGTGAAATCGGATTACCCACTAATAGCGATAGATAAGGAAAATAACCATTACACTATGTTAAGCGAAAACGACTTAAATAAGTGCGTGCGAGACACTACCACGTATACGTGCGGGCAAACATTTCCGATATACTATATTAAATTCGATGCACCGTGCAAAGTATCGATATTCATAAACGCGCCAGGACAAATGCAAAATTGCGAAAACGGACACGTTTTATCTAGCACTACTTTGTGGATTACGTTGACGGAGGCTCAAACGTGGCTATATTCCACCAGGGAAAGCCAGAAAGTTTTTATTAATTGCAATAACGAAGAAAACGCATTAGAAATTAATGGAACCGGTAGAATTAAATTAAACGGGGATTGCAAGTTAACCACCCCAGATTTAACGTTACGCACGAAATCAATACTAAACGTACAATACATTAAAGAATATCTTCCGGAATATAACCTAACGTGTCATTTTGAAAAGGACATTGACCTCTCAAAGCGTATTCCGCTCAAACAATTAATTAAAGATCCTAAGGAATTAACAAAATTAAGTCTAGGAACAAGAGAAATAGAGGAGTATTTAGGAAAGAGTAATACTCCCGGATTCCACCATAAATATATAGTGTATCCCATAGGTATAATAACTGTCATGTTAATAGTAATCAACATTATAGGTATAACTATGTATATAGTACGTAAGCGAAGGCAAATGCGAAAGGACAGCGAAGTTCAAAGGCGTAGCAACGACGCCATGTTATATTAAAATTAAGAAACGATTGTAAAAATTTATTGTAAATCGGGATAGAATGTACGACAATAATTGATAATAAATACGGAAACTAGTAACCTCGTTTCCTTTCCCAAGGGGGGAGGAATGTCACGAATGCGGTATTGCACAAGTGACAATTGCGCCACGAAACGTGCCAAAACGATACTCTAACAATTTACGAAATCATATTATTTAAAATAAAGAAAACAGTATCGATTAATATAAAAGAAGACCCTGAGAAATGCAGACTCAGATGTTGTAAGAATACTGGCCTCGTCCGATAAGCGGAACGCTAACGGATCAGCGCGGACAGTCCAAGGTTGACCCCCAAAATATAGAATATAAGCGCGACCCCATCTGCGGTCGACGGTCAGAAATTCGGTCAAGTAAATAAGCATAACGCGTCGCGTCGCGACATCCGAAGCATTACCGTACATATATCGCGACGCGAGTACGATACGTAAAGTGTGATCGTAAATCAATACAACTTGTAATTTATAGAAATAAAAGTGTTATATTTGCTAAAGAATACTACAAAAAAGTGTTAACTTGTGCGACCCTCTCCCGAGTCCTTTGTGGATCCCGAACCGTGCCGTGTAGCGGCACAACAATTCAAATTAGTATGTTAATATACTATTTCATATATTTTGTTTTGTTGAACGTCAGCCGGGGAACTGGATGAGGCAGGCAGACGTTGAACACAGAATGAATCGAATAGTTGTAATACCGAACACTTTATTGAACAGAATACAGACCGCGCTGAGCAAAGACAGTGTACAGCGGAAGAGAAGAATAAAACGCGCGGGAAGAGCAGATCGCGCAATGTAGTGTGTACGTTGTAGTGTAGTCGGCTTAAGGTCGTGAATCCTTCCAGTCGCGGGAGATTTAAATCCTCAACACTTCCCTTCGAGATATGGGAAGGGATCAGCCCGAAGTAATAATGTCGAGATCTTCAGAATATTTGATGTGCTTTTGTCGTGTAACCGCTTTGGTGAGAAAGTCAGCAGCCATCTCCTCACTGAGGACGTAGCTCAGCTTTAGCAGATCGTTCTCCAGACGAATAAAATGATGACAGATGTCAATGTGTTTTGTTCGTGCGTGAAACGTTGGGTTATTCGCCAGCTTCTGTGCCCCAAGATTGTCGCTAGAGATATGTAAAGATATATAGAGATATATAGTGATATTGGCGAGATGATCGAGCCCGAGCTCGATAAGGAAGTTTCGAAGGTAGGTCGCCTGCTTGGCGCACTCGGATAGCGCCATGTACTCCGCCTCGGTGGATGATAGTACGACGGTTCTCTGCTTTCTCGATGAAATGGTGGCTCCGCTCAACAGGAAGGTAAAACCGGAGTAGGATCTCCGATCATCGATGGAGTTGCTCCAGTCGGCGTCTACGAAACCTGTGAGTGGCTCGCGGATGGGCCTGAAACATATACCGTAATCAATAGTGCCCTTTAAATAGCGTAAAACACGCTTGGTGGCGTTCCAGTGTATTCTTCGGTAGCAGTTGTTGAATTGACTGAGAGAGCTTGCTGCATGAGCAATATCCGGTCGGCTACTCGTGGCAAGGTACATTGTTCCACCGATTAGCTCGCGATAGGGTACGTCCACTTCATCGTCATCTGCAGGCGTTTCTGGCTTGGATAGCTTTGTATGGATGTCCCATGGGGTAGATATCGGCTTGTATTCAGATATCCCGAATCGTTGTAGGAGATCTTTTATATACCTCTCTGTCAAATAACAATGCCTTCCTTATTCCTCGAGAATTCTAATCCGAAACAATACTTGATCTCTCCAAGATCCTTGATTTGTAAACTATCATCAGCTTTCTCTTGATGTCCGTGACGATGCTCATGTGACGTGAGATTATCAGCAAGTCGTCGACATAAACTACAATCAGGGTTAGATCTACCCTTGAATTGTAACGATATATGCATGGATCGGCATTCAATGGAATGGTCCCGATCTTCTTTAGTTCCTCGTCCAGTCTCGCGTGCCAGTTTCTACCAGCTTGCCAGAGTCCATAAAGAGATCTTTTTATTAAACAGACCTTGTTCCCGTCGCGAAGTTCATTCAGCATTTTTGTTGCCTTGTTATATGTTTCGCTGTTGGTGGTTTCAATTTGAACGATGAATTCTAAGGTTTCTTCGAATGACTTTGGGATCTCCATGAACATCTCCTTGATACTACTGTTCAGGTAGGCTGTAGTTATGTCCATCTGGCTGATGTGCATCCCGTTCTGAATTACCACGGAAATCGCAAGGCGTATCGAGCTAAGTCTGGCGACGGGTGCGAATGTCTCGTCAAAATCAACTCCTGGACGTTGCGCAAATCCTTGTGCTACTATGCGAGCATTCCTTTTCTCGATTGTTCCGTCCGGGTGGTATTTGTTTCGTAATACTATTCGACTTCCGATATTCGCGCGATTTTCAGGTTTATCGACCAGTACCCATGTGTCGTGATGAAAGATAGACTTAACCCCTGATGCCATTGCTTTCCTCCACTCTAGAGCATAAGTGCTCGATAGTGTTTTCTTTAGCGTAATTTCGGCTGCGAAAGCGAACTCAGTGTATTCCGCCATGTGATAGTCCTTCCGAGGACGTCCGGGTCTGCCGGTTAGGATCCTTTTAGGCCGACCACGCCCTCGCCTAGTTTCGGGTTCCGGAACACGCTCTTCATTTGCATTATATTCCCTGTCTCCTTCATCAGCCTCTTCTGTCTCTACCTTCGAATCAGAAGTTTCACTAGTGGGTCTTGCTACCTCCCTGACTGGATCAGTGACTTCCAGATCGGGGGTGGTTAGTGGAATGTCGACAGTCGAGTGAGTTTCGCGTGGATTTGTACTTGGATCGTGAGTGAGGGTTTCTATGGGATAAAATTCCTCGGTTGTTTCAATCGGTAAAAATGGAGGCTCGCCAAGAAACGAACATCCCTAGAGATTTTCACCATTCTTCTGTCTGGCATCCCGACTCTATATCCTTTGGATTGTTGAGCGTAGCCCAGGAAGATTCCCGCTCTTGATCGAGAGTCGAACTTGCCTTTGTCCGCTGACGTGTTCAAGCAGTGAACTTTACAGCCTAAGCTGTGAAGGTGTTGAGCGTCAGGTGGTTGGCCGTGCCACAACTCGCAAGGTGTCTTTCCTTGGAGGCTCCTGGAGGGGCAGCGGTTTCTGATATAGTTGGCTGTGGCTAGTGCCTTGGCCCAGAACAATGCAGGAATACCTGACTGAATGAGAAGACATCGGGCAGTTTCCACCAGTGTCCTGTTTCTTCTCTCCGCGATCCTGTTTTGTTGGAGATTGTCGACAACCGTGAGTCGTCTTTCAATTCCATTTTTCGTCAAGAAATCGTTGAAATCGGCGTTGACGCTTATTCGGTACCGTTGTCGTTTATTTGGGACCGTTGTCCGACTGCAGATATTTAATCCTTTTTTCTTTTTGGTTCTCCATCAGAGGTTTGAACTCCTCGAATTTCTTGAGTGCGCCGTTATTTTGCTTGAGGAAACGTAT